ATCTAGCTAGCGGAATTTCGAGTAATCTTATTACAGCACGAAACACTGCAAAAACGCATGATCGCACAATCCCGCCAGTGCGCGTCGCCAGTGATGTTGATTAGGGCTCCCTTCCGATCTTCGGTTGAAGACAGACGTAAAAGCTCTTTGTTTTTTTATGTTGCAGCATGCGAATACTAAAAGAAGAGTGCGTTCGGAGGAAACAAAAAAACGCCAGTCGAAGAAGCGCAGAGAGGGATCATTTGCATCAGTTCATTGGAAAGCCCAGTGTTGCTTCTCTAAACTGGTAATTTTTTTGTGCATTTTGTGCTGCAAATTGCACAAAACGCATACTGTCAAAATCCTGTCTGTGTGTGCTTGTGTGTGTTGAGTGCATTTTATCCAAGAGTTTCAACTCGCAACTCAAAAAACTAGAAAGCTGAAATTTTAAGTCAGGCGGGGGAGGGGGGAGGAGGACTGCCCATGTGCAATATTACAAACCCAAATTCAGCGCTCGAGCGCGCCCAGGCTTTGCATATGGAAACGTGAAGATTTCGGCGCCTAAATTAATAATTCGGGAAGTACAGAAACTGGGGAGTGGGGCTACTGTATTTTCCGAACTCAGTGTGCGAATTATACCAAATTCTCAACCTCTTCCACAGTTCTGCGTTGCCGGATCAAATTCGACGCTCGCTTACAGTTTCATTTTGCCGCACACTGCGGAGCAGAATGGCTTGACTGGTCAGTTCGTAGGCTCTATTCACCAACAAATTGTGTGTAAGGCATCTGGGCACAGTGGCCCATGCATGCCAGCAATCTAGCATTAAAAGAGAGACTGCCTGCGATGAGGAAACACCATTTCAACTGCTGTGGCTCGAAACACTGGTAGGATCGCACATATTTAAACTGAGGAGCTTGAAGCAGCCTGGGACCACTTCCTCTAGCTCTCTCCCTCCCCATATAGCAGCTTATCTTCCTCACAATAAATCTTAACTGAACGCAGCAAATAAGCGGCACCATCAGCGCTCGCCGCACCTTCTTTCAAACTCCACAAATTCCAGAAATTCTCACATATCTTCTGCCTGCACTATTCCAGCATACAGACACTTCCGAATACCTGCACTTTGCATTTTATGCGTTTTTGCTTTTATGCAAATATAAATTCATTAAGGCAGAGCCGTGTTCATGCGTATTTAATAAACGTACATGCCGAGAATATCGAGGCTGCTCGGATAATCGACATGGAGATATCTTG